AGAGTCAAGTTGAATTTAAATGAGTGTCATGATTGGAAGAAAAAATACTGGCAATATCATAAAGAATGTAAGGAGAGAAATTTGTCCAGGACCTCAACTTTAGTTAATTAATATTTTATTTCCAGCTGTAAAGTGATCTTCAGACTAACATGTATGTTGGGCCTCTGTTACTTGTATAACATGTTTGAATGTCATAGAACTTAATGTTAAATGCCATTTGTTCAGACCAGACATTTGGCAAAAAAAAAACTCTTCATCAGAACTTGTTTAATCTGTTTTTCTTTAAAATCAGACACAAGATGAAATAAGTAATCAAAATAAAAGTGGAGTATCAGTTGAACCTGGTAATGTTGGATGTTAAATTAGGTTGATAAAGTAATTTAAAAGTCAATGTTATCTGTATATTAGAGGGTTAATACTATATTTCATGATATAGTGTAGTGGAGCCTGCAGGGGTTAGTGATAATTAAGACATATGTGGTAATTCACTATAACTCCATCATTTTCACTGTCAGCTGCTATAACATTAGCTCTTAATTAAAACCAGTGGTCAAACTATTTCAAATATTTTCTGATCATTTTACCATAAATCATAATATTGTTATAAGAAATCACGTTGATATTTACAGTATAAAATAGTCATAAAGGGAATAATTCAAAGTTTTGATCAATTATAAAAGTGGCAGGGGGTTATTTCTTCTGGGAGTCTTCAGATTCATGGACTGTTTTAACAATATTATTCTAATCAGCTGTAGTAGGAATCTGTTTGCTAGGTTCCACTAGAGTACTGTCTAGACCAGAGGTTAGTGTAATATCAGTTTACACCCTCGAGTATCATATTGATTTGGTTGTATTCAGACTTATTGGCTATATTAGATCTAAAGCTTAGTTTGTTATGAATTTTAGGCAAACACTTCTACATTATGTTAATTTATTATATTGATATCTTTGCTTCAATAGAATTTGTTTTTGTTGGCTTTGGCAGTTACTAGGACTTAATTTTATAGCTTTCAATTGATTGGATTTCTTTTCCAAGATCTAATAATTGCATCCAAGACTATTCTGAGATCACCACCTCGGAATCAGTTTCATTACACAAAATTCACCTGTTCTATTCTAAGGATTTGTTAGTTTAAATTAGCTCTTGAGTTCTGCACAGATCAACATAGGAAGAAACTTTTATATTTCACAGATTATTAGCTTAGGAAAGATGACATATTTAAGGCAGTCAATTTTAAATGAAGTTGTAATCTTATCTGATGAAAGTGATTTGACCCTGGTCAGCTATGGCCAAAAGATGTACTTCAGTATATGGTTATCACTGTTTTGTCTATTTTTAAGTTTCACAGATTATCTCCTGATCATGATGAAGATCTGTTATATAAAAGTTGGTTGTTATTCCTGATCACGATAAGATATGTTGTATAAAAGATGGTTATTATTACATGATCATGATGAAGATATGTTGTATAAAAGTTGGTTGTTATTACATGATCACGATGAAGATCTGTTGTATGAAAGTTGGTTGTTATCACAAGATTATGATGAAGATCTGTCATTAAAAGTTTGTTGTTATCACATGACCATGATGAAGATCTGTAGTACAAAAAGGTTGGTTGTTATCTCATGATCTTGATGTAGATCTGTTGTATAAAAGTTGGTTGTTATCACAAGATCATGATGAAGATCTGTTGTATAAAAGGTTGGTTGTTACGACGAGATCATGATGAAGATCTGTTGTATAAAAGGTTGGTTGTTACGACGAGATCATGATGAAGATCTGTTGTATTAAAGATGATTGTTATTACATGATCTTGATGAAGATCTGTTGTATAAAAGATGGTTGTTATTACATGATCTTCATGAAGATCTGTTGTATAAAAGTTGGTTGTTATCACAAGATCATGATGAAGATCTGTTTTATTAAAGATGGTTGTTATTACATGATCATGATGAAGATCTGTTGTATAAAAGGTGGTTGTCATTACATGATCATGATGAAGATCTGTTGTATAAAAGATGGTTGTTATTTCATGATCATGATGAAGATCTGTTAATAACATGATCATGATGAAGATCTATTGTATAGGAATAATAATACAAAAATTGTGTGAGTTTCTAGATGATAGTTATTGGAATAACAGGGTTGGTTAAACTAGCAAGGTAGAATAGATTCAGAGTCTATGCCAGACCAACTCATTATCTTTGTCAACAAAAATCTTTTTGGTTTTGAGACCTAATGATTAAAACCTGCATTTCTAAAAAAACACATTCACAGATAGATGTTTATAACGTCAAGTGACAAAGTCAGGTTTTCCAGATAGGCAAGCATGATTTTTGTCTCACGCCACAGTAGGCCTACTGATTGTAGTAGAGCTCAATTTGAATAAAGTAATATGTAAAGTAAGAGATGTGAGAAATTGGTGACATTTAGAGAAGACGTGAAACTGGGTGGGGGTATTTAATTACTTCTATCAATAGACCAGACCAAACCTTGTCAATAGATAAATAAATATACTATATTCTACACCAGATAGTCTTCATATTGAGTCATTCTGGTTTCCTGAATAATAGGGTGGGATATATACTTATCTCAGGGTACATTGTGTCAAATGTGAGAATCTTGAAGTTTGACTTTTGGTCATCTTTATGATAAATTTTACTACAAATTTGAGGAAATTATTAAATTGATCTTAGAGTTTGTGTCTAGAAGACCTGGTAGGTAAATTGGAATGTTGTATAATTGTAATTCTTTAGATTTAACTTGGCTAGGTAGAATCAAGCTTAAAAGGACAGGTGCACCATTTTTGGGGGTTGATTTTAGTCTTGAAATTATGTAAATAGTCTTCAGAAGTACTGACAATGTATGAAATTTGCATAATTCTTTCAAAAATATCTCAAACTAGGAACTTATTCACTATTTCTATATTATGACGAGTCGTCATTTTAACATTCAATTGCGGATAATTCTGGACACACATGGTTTTGAAGGCTGATTGGCTTAGCTAAAAAAAAAATCCCGTCCCAAGACTTATGTATGATTGGTCCAAAAGAATGGCACACCTCTCCCTATGAATTGAAATAACTAACTTTTAGAATGAAAAGTGGGAAAGAGTGTTTTGCAGGAAGTGATTATTTGATTGTGAAAATTTGCCGATTCCTTTTATCATTGAAGAAGATAAATATTGTATTTCTGTATGAGCTAAATTTAAGGTAAAATTTACATTAAGAATGAAGTAGCAGATACTTGATCTACTATGTTTTTTTACCTTGTTAAACCTGCGTGCTAGTATTAAACTAACAACCATTATAAACTAGTAACTATCAACCATCTGTTTTAAACAACCATACTATACAATTTGTTTTCATTTTATTTTAATGATGTTGGAAACTTTAGAAAGTAGTAAACTCTTTGCCAACCAAAATAAATATATCATCCCAAAAATATATGTTACTTCATTTTTTTTTTCTTCGCATTCCTAAGAACACAAGGTAAGATGTAAAACAAATTAACTTAAAAATAAGCTACCTTGTGGCCAATGTAAATTATATTACAAGGTGGATAAAGAAATGTTTATAATTATTTTGCCAATGGTATATCATATCTGGTAGAATACATATTAATATATAACTTCAGTTAGAAATGAGCTTAATTGTAATGTTAATTTTTAAAATGTTCAGGGTTTATTTGACTTAAAGTAATGATATACTTTCAGTAGAAGCCCTGCTCCACTGGTTGTTTAATAATGTTTGTAGTTAGAATTCTTTGTGTTGTGTTAGAGTTATGAATCATTCACTTTGTTAAAACAAAAACCAGAGTAAAAACAATACATTGACGTGAGAAACTTCTATTATTTATATTAAATAATAAGTCTACATGGTAATAATGAAATAATTACATGATGTTTTATAAACAACCACACGATTTCTTCTGATAATTTGACATTTAAATCTTAAAGTTGCAAACCAAAAATGTAAAAATGACAATGTAGCCTACAGGATGAGTATGAGACAATATGGGTGATGTTTGTCAGCTATTTACACCCTAACTACAGGTAGTGAAAACAGTGGTAACAAAGTTGTTATCAGAACTGAATATGTTCTTGCACAAGGAATGGCCTTTATCACCCTTGTACACTGTGATATTGAATAAGATGATGGAACAGTTGTCCTTGTGTTTGTGTTAAGCCACGCTGCTACTGGTACTTGAAATTATCTAAGAGATGATAGATAGAAGAAATAAAAGAAGAAAGATAAAATCAATATGGTATTTTTATGAACTAATAATACGGGTTAGAATGAGATAATAATTCATTTACTTCTCAGTAAAACTACAAAAATAGATGGTTTATGACCATGTTTTATTGTTATGATGTTGAAATATTCCAGTAATGTAGAGTTAATAGGGGTATTATACCATCATTGTAATTCAAGATTGATTGTTTTTAAAGGTTATTGTCTTGTGATGTCATACTGTTATTTCACCCAAATCATCCTTAGTTTAGTATGAAATCTCACTTTATTCAATCCATTGGAAAACTAACTGTGAATTGAAACTGACCTCAAATTATTTTCTGAAGTTAATTTTAGGGACTGCCTAAATGCTGTTAACCTCTTTATATTACAAAAAATATGTTAAGAGGCAACTGGTTCTAGAACTTTTCTACTTTTTCACTTTTTAGACGTAAGCAAATGAACTGAACTAAAGATAGGAAGGAAGTGGACATTTGCAGCTTAAGACTCCCTCTTGAACTTTTGATTCTTCTTTGAATTAACTGAAATCTACCATCCCTATCAACAATCCAGATCAGTTATAATTCTGAAGGAACTTTTGATTCTACATCTAGTCTGAAACTGAATAATTAATTTGCCATCTCTACCAACAGTCCTACTTATAACAGTCCATATAAAGTATAATGCTGATCAAATTTGATTATTTATTTCTAATTACAGGTGTAAATAAGAAGTGTACAGCTATAAAGATTAATGGTAGCATCATAATGTGTTATGTTATTATAACATGTTGGTCATTATTATGGACTCTATCATCAATATCTACCTTATTAGTATTAGTAATCAGCGTCATGTCACCTCAATGGCTTGTTAGTCCACCCAAAAAATTTGGACTGAGTGGTCTATCCAATACTACATATAGTGAAGATGAAGTTTATAATCCAACATTGGGAATTTTCAACCGTTGTACAAGACTACACAGATTTCAAGAGATATATAAACGTGACCACTGTGCCAATTTTGTGACAGGATATGACATGAATGATGATGAATTCCCTCATGCCTGGAAAGCTGCGTTGATATTTTTTAGTTGTGCTATATTATTATTATTATTTACTACGGTAACCTCGGTGATCAGTATGTGTTGTCGTAGTTTATGTGGTAAAAGTATTTTTACTGTGTCTGGTTTAATACAAAGTATTGCTGGTAAGTTAATGATTCGAAAAATAAAAAACAAACCAATAATTTCTAGTTGAGAACGATTTTTAAAATGTCTTACAATAGTAAAAAGATTTAAATTGCTAAATCCCTTCTTACCCTCCAGACAATCTCTATCACTGCAAATAATACACACCCAATCCTTATTAAAATCTAGAAGTTGGAATAACTCAGGCCCTCTACCTCACTTAGGTTGTCAATATTGACAAGGTTTGAAATAATGTGAAAATAATCTTTAATTCAATGTTCAAGGCTCAGTAAGTGAAACAGACAAGGCCTAATTTTTTCAATAACACAAACTGTATTATTATTACAACCAAAGCAACTTTCTAAATTAAACTTCTAGACACCATCAATTTGATTTTTTATTTTTCAGGATTGTTATGTATATTGGGATTATTTTTATACCCAGGAGGTTGGGGAACTCAACGTGTTAAATTATTCTGTGGTGATCGTGCTGGTCCATTTTATATTGACCAATGTTCTTTTGGTAAGTAACAAAATTAATAAATTGCTCATAAATGCTATCAACTGGATGGTCACAACTACCAGATCCAGTTTTTTTTCTAGAATTTAGTATTTGAGCAATATATAGCAACTGGCTGTATATGCCATTTTTCAGTTGTCACTGTGCTTAGGTCATCTGAATCTAGCAATGAAATTCACCCAGATACTGTTGTCTAAAATGGAAAGTTCCTATTTACAGTAGTACAAAGGTTTTAAAAGATTGTAAAATTTCATTTTCAATAATATATATTTCAGGTTGGTCATTCTATGTTTGTATATTAGCTACATTATTAATGTTTGGTTGTTCAGTGATATCAATAAAAGCTGATACATCAACATGCTCTAGAAAAGTCGAGGAAGAGGTATTGGAAGGCAAGAATCTTATTTGTGTTATTTGAAGTTCCTGATATGCCTATTAATCACAGACTACAATGGAGACTTGACAAGAATTATTTCCACAGTTATAGTGTTAATTTGCAGATCATATGGAGTCAAAAATTTGAAAATTTACTTTTTTTTTAATAAAAACAAAATTTCTGTAAATGGTGCAATATTTATCATTTAACACACAAAAAAAAATAGAGATCAAAATAATTTAAGACTTTTCCATGCATGTTTTTTTCACATGAAATCCTGAAGATTCTGAGTTTTACTCTAACGGAAGCTGATATTATCAATCCATAATGATATTTGGTGCCTGATTTGAATTTGTTTATTGAATTTTTCATTATATTTTAGATTTCATGTTTTGATATCATTCATTATCATAATCATTTCATTTGACCTTCTTTTGTAATCTACAATAATCTATAAGCCAACTTTCCTACATTTTGGGGTAGTGGTTTGAAAATAATTTGCAATGGAATAGAATGATATCAGACTGCCTTGCTCAGGAGGTTTTTGATTTGGTCAAATTCTTTGTAAAGACAAGATAGATTGGCAATCAGAAAATGTTATTACAACATTTTGCATTGCTCTTGACATTTATATTTAGAAAGTTAGTAGTCAGGGATTGAAGATCAAATGGTACAAGTGGTCAAAGGAGACATAATCCTGTGACGTTTAGACGATGGTAAATCTTTGTTGAATAGATCTTTGAAGATATTTCATATGTACCAATATTAATCATGAGACAACAAAGGTTATGTCCAGTACATTTCAATCAGCATCTTCATGTCATATTCGTTGTTGTTTGATGTTGAGATCACAGATCAGTTACAAGTTCCTCCTTTCCTATTCAACTAGTCATCACAGTAAATAATTGTACTTAATATACAGTATTTAATATTAAGTTATATCAAATAGGAAGTGAGTTATTATATAGATCATTATGATAGATATATTTCTCATTCATTCATAATTACTTACTTTATTTGGAAAATTTTTATACATGGTAAATTTTAGTACAAGGCTTTAAAGAACTGTACACACTGTTTAGCAACATGGTATGCAGATGAGAGGTTGTTGTGTGTACAGTTCTTTAAAGTCAAATGTTGCTGAAATGTCAAAATACATACAAGATTATTTTTGTTGCAGAGAAGTAAATGATGTTGTAGAGTTTCATCCAATCAGAAATGTGCTACAAATCACATGATCTATTGAAACCTGCTTTTTTTGTTTTGTTCTATCAACCTGACTAGTATAGTTTTTTTACAAACAAGAATCCCATTCAGGTTATATTTGTAAATTCTGGCTGTATGAATCCTGTATTATTTATTGTATTTGTTGTATCAATATTATTGTTATTTATTATTCTATTGTATATATTGTCTTGTATCTATTTATCTATAATATCAAGTGATTTCTATTACTGCTGATGTTTCTATCACAAAATATATGAGATAAGATTTCTGAACTGGTATTGGTAAGAATGATGTATGTCCGCTTGTAAGATATGAACAGTATCAGTATCATAGAATATTAATGTTCATTATTTAAATGGATTTCGTATGTCACCTTTTACCAATAGGATAGTCATTTTGTACTATGATACATGCATTCACAAAAATACTACGAGTTTTTGTCAATTTTGAACTTCGCACATTCTTTTCAGTATGTTATATTACTGTAATGATATTTGTTATATTCTCTCTCTGTATGATATTTATTTGTTATCATTTAGTGCCTTGTAGATGTTGTCTTCCTGATATTGTTATGCAATCAAAGTGGATGGTGAAATAGTGCTATCCAACTAATCATCTACATGTATTTTAATTTCCCTTTTAAAAAATAAGATAAGATTTTAGTTGTTGTTGGACTTCCTTCCTTAGAAATTGAAGTTCAATTTTCAACTCTTGTAAAATTAACTGGTGATAGTAAAAGCCTACGCTGGTGATAGTAAAAGCATACACTGGAGGAAAGTGACACCTGTCAGAATACTAAAATCAGGTGAACTAATTAAGATTAAGAATCGATTATTTAAGTAACCTTTAACTTCATTAGTTTTCATTTCATTCCATTTCTAGTCAGGTTTCATTTTTAGTTTTTTACTATTTTATCCTGCAATAAAAATGTCTTTTTTTTCAAATTCTTGTCTATTGACAGTTTGTAGATGTGGTCTAAGGGGGATAATTCACAATTATTCAAATTACAACTCTAAAGAAATACATCAAATTTAATTTCAGTTCTTAAAATGTGAAATGGATTAAGGTGCCTAAAATGGGTACCTGATCAGTCATAGGTCATTAGAACTTGTACATTAAATTAATGTAGGGTTTCGCAGCATGTCTGTGTAATAAATAAGCCTAATAAAACAGATATTTGCATAGACGATTTTATTCATTCTCTGTGTACAATTTAGTGACAATATGAGTATATATATTTATAACTGTACAATAACATTATATAGAGGGGTATGATATCTGTACAATAACAGTTTAGGCTGCAGTTAACACTACTATATTATAGGATACCATCAATTCATATAATCTGCCTCACATAATATACATAGAAAACCCATGCATTTCACATAGGTATATGCATAATATACATATATTTAATGTTTATATTTATCAGGAAGTTCTGACTGTCAAAAATGCTTCAGAAAATTCCATGATTGATCTCTTTAAGGATCATCTTTTAAAGAATCCTCACATATTTTACACAAGGGGCTATGAGAAATATGATTTAAAACATAAGGACATATTCACATTCAGCACAAAGCTGATATAAATGCTGCTTTATTCATATACAGTTATATGGTGATAGGTACAAGATATGATAATTCCCTGATAATTAGCAATTTAAAACTCTAGTAGGCTGAGCCAGTTCTCTCATAACGCCACTGCTTTCAATAGAAGATAATAAAAAAAAGCTCTGTTTGGCTTCAATTGCTGAAGTTATTGTACGTATCTAAACACCCCAATTAAAAAGAATGATATTGTGTGTATACCAGCTACAAGTGATTTGATGAAGTAAAAGGTAGAAGTCAGGTAGAAGAGATGTGAGAAAGGCACAAATTTCCTTCTATTATAACAGAGGTAGGTTGAATATTAACAATAACCAGTTTCTCTACATTTAAATTTAGGTCATATATTTACTGTTTGAATATAGCATAGCTCTTAAAAATTAGACTAAGAACCAATAACCATGCAAATAATTTGGAAATTAAAATTCATTTTTTTCTTGTAAATATCAAATTGTTAAAATTTATCTTTTTCATATAAAATTACTGGAAATAGCATTTATTTTTTTATTTAAAAAAAGAGAAATTGCTATCAAATATGATTAAAAATTGTCTATGACAAAAATATCCTGTTAATTGCCAGATTTTAGTTCTAAAGAGGTTAACCTGGCCATAAACATATTGTATGAAATGTTGGTCAGCTTTAGACCACAATATACTATATACAATAACACAGACCTAAAAGAACAAAGTTATATTTATAGAACAAATCTAACATAATTTCTTTATATAAATTCTACATCGAGAATAGTATGGCATTTAACATCTTTAACAATGATGGATAAAGTCTTATAGTCACATTTCATATTTTGATAAATCTGGTCATAAATCTTCAAATAATATTCCTGCTCTTTAAACTATACAAAAATTTCAAAAAGCTCAAAAGAGTCACTAATAATAAAAGGTCAAGTACAAAATGATAAAATAAATTCATAAAACAATAGAAACCATTTCCAAAAACTCTTTAAATTAGTGGTTTATAAAATTGATTTAAAATTTAGTTTTTAATGCCTGTTTGTTCTGAATTCATTTTTTGTGAAAACGGCCGTAGATAAAGAAAAGGTGTATTTAAGGATTTTGAATTAAACCAGATTTCTGATTTATGCCACTGGGTTCATCGAAACACAAAATGTACTCAAAACAACCATAATTAACAGTTATATGATTACATGATAAAAATCAACAATATGACAGTATATACACACCAGTTTCTCATTGAGGATTTATTGAGTTTAAAAATAGTTTATAATGATACTTCCATATGTAACAAATCATTCAACTTGCTGATAATCAAATGAAATGCCATCTGTAATGCCTTTCAGTTATTATTTCAAAAACATTGTTTTTCCAAATGGTATGTCTGCCCAATATCTGAAGTACTATAGGAGTTCATGTTTTGTCAAAATTAAATGGCTAGGTTTTAATTTGTTGCCTGCACTTACATCAAGAAATCGAACTGGATCATGTGTTTAGGTGTAATATCTTATGCTGTCAATCAAAGTTTCGAATGGTCCCAAGATGTTTACAAAGATGTTGTATGTCTGTTTTTTTACCATAAAAACTCCATTACATGCAACAGAACATTTCAAAGGGAAAAGAGCAATATCAACAAGCCCAGGTGGAAAATAAAACCACATCACATGAATATCAGCCTTACAACCAACAGACAAATCATTTGATGAAAAACAAGATGAATGAGAATAATATACAAATATACAGAATTTAATGCCTTCAGTGATTGTGATTAGATAAAATATAAGATGGACTCTCTATACAGCTATTATATACACTATATAATCATTATATATATATATATATATACTAATATTATTATATAGACTTTAATACAAACTGTATTATAATAATATAATCTACTCAGTATTACATCATAGTTTCATTACTAATATTATTTTCACTTTAAAGACTATTTATGCCTGAAAATCAGGCCCTGAATACAAGATTTCAGTAGAAAACTGAGTAATCCCAATAATGCTAAATATCTACACAGGTCAAGCATACAGATGCTCTTGTCAATATCAAGCTTGAGATGTATAGTTTTATTATTATATTAGTGTTTGGTGAAATGATATCTTGCCCTACAGTAAATATATCAAGATTGTATATAAATGTGATTAGGTAAATATAAGATAAGTGAGTTAACACCTCTTTAAAGCTGTGAAGGAAATTTAACAAGTGATATCAAATTAAAATTTGGTTTAGTTTAAAACAACGTAAAATATCAATAAAAACTTTCCTCAGTTCCTAGTCAGTTTATATCATCTGGCGCCAAGTCTATTCATCAAGTATAAAGAGCACTTTCAAACACATCTGTAAAAGTTCTGATTGTCTTTTATTGCTGATAAAACTTTCAGGTATCACTATCTTTGAATACAAGTAACTCTCGTCAAGTTCCAATAATAAAGCACAATTCAATAAAAATCAGTCCAGACTTCAGGATGTTTCTGTTGCGTCTGCTGAAAACAGTTCTTTATGTAATGCAGGAAACTCTGCATCTGGTTGGGATTCCCTGAATTTTTGTAAAACACGCACATGTAACAAACTTAAATTTCTCACTATAGGTATTTGAACTATTAATTTAGCCAGTGTTTCTGAATCATCACTATGATTATTACCAACTTCTAATTTTAATGCAGCTTGGATTTTTTCATGTAATTTTTGTATATCTCCTGTATCTTTTAAACCTGGACGATCTGAAAATATAACATAAATCAATACTTATACTTCATATGATTATTATTTGGCCAAGTGGTTGTTTTTTGTTTTTATGTCAGGACATTTAAGCCCTTTCTAATTTCAGATGGAACTTCAATTACAGTTGGTATGTCTAATATATAGCTTAATCATAACATTATCAAGTATAAAAGATATTTAGAAAATTTCCAAATTTGATCTTCATCAATGCACAGAACTCATTTTCTATGATGATAACTCTTTCATTGGTGTTACAGAGCAATCAGTCATCTACATCAATCAATTAAATAAATGTCTTACCTGAACTGATTAGGATGAGAGCACTAAATAAAGCCATTTCAATTTCTGTTAATTTAAATATCTGTACAGTTTTAACAAATTCAAAGATTTTTTCCATCACCATCTTTTCCTCAGCATCTACAATACAAATGGAATTTTAATTATCTGACACAAAATAATATACAACAAAATAAACAATCTATTAATTTGAATATATATATAATTAATATCACAACTAAGTTATGAAAGTAATGAATGATCCATGCCAATATCAGCAAGATATATCCATATTTAATAAGTTGTGTTATTCTATTATTCTAAAATCACAGTGTTTTATTTAAATATTATTTAAACAATATCATCAATACTTTTACTTTTTGATTTTGAATAACTCTAGAAAATGAAATAAAAATAAAATCTGAATTGTTATTAAACTCACCTAAAGCATGGAAAGCATCAAGAGGTATATAAGAATTACCAAATATAACACTATTGCTAGCCACATCATACGCCCTACATAGCTGTAATAACGCTAATTCAAAACTACCTGCAAAACATATGTTTTAGATTCATTATTAAAAATGTCAATGTATAACATCTCTTTGTTCAATTGTTTTTTTACTGAACATAATGATCAATTTAAATTCATAGTGCAAAATAAAAAATATTCTTTACAATCAACTTATTATACCAAGACCATGTCAAAACTTAACATTCATAATTCAGGTGTATAATTATATCAAAATTTAACCTTACCTGCTTTTAATAACATTATCTGGTCATCTTGGGACAAATCCATAAAACCAGGAATCATTTTAGCAAATTCTATTATTTGTTGGACTGCAAGTGTTATTTTATCAGCTATTTCCATCCATAATTGAAAATGATCCTGAAAAATTTGTTGAAGTAAAGTTGTTAAGCATGCAATTTCGAGCAAATATTACGATAATATATCCTCATATATTACAATTGTACGACTCCAAATTTACTTTATCCAACAATCTGTGAATCAAATCAAATTCTATATATTTGTGTGGAAGTTTCTCTCAAATTTAGAAATATATGGCAACTCTTGTCAGTCAACATAATATTTAAGAAACTATAGTCAAGATCGATCTGAAGTCTATAACTGAAACATTTACCATATTTATATGAAATGCGAATCAAAATTTTAACTTGATAAAGTGTGGGATGCATACTTATTTAACCAATGGTCACTACTAAACACAAATATTAGCCATACGACTAGTGTATTCTAAGAAGAAGTATCCCTACTAGTAATCTCTTCTCCTATTTGCTGCTTACCATTATCTATAATTATCAAATTAACTCAACTTACCATTACTTTATATGAATCTATCTGTTCTTGACTGACTGTTTGTTGTTTTAATGTTTCTATCTGTTCAGAACTATATAACGATGTCCTTCCATGAGCCTCTGTGATAGCTTTAGCAAATGCAACTACAACAAAAGATATTAAATTTTGGACCATGTTAGGAGAGCAATAGGTAACTCTATCTACCAAATGATCACCTGCTATGATAATTGCCTCAGTCATTATTTTGAAAATTTTATGTCTTTGCTCAAGTAATTACCCATGTTTAATGAAATTATTGAAGCAGGTAGACGAAATAAAGATAGATGACAATACAATATACTAAGGGTCATATCTAGCTACACTTTCCTGCCAGAAACATCACACAGACAGTCTGAAAGAACCAAGCTAATATGATTACTTACTTGGGTCCATAAGGTCAACTGGTCTAACCATTGATATAGGATGGGGACCAGGTGAACTAGGATGAAAGTTATTACTAGTGTCTGGTGATACAGGGTACTCTGCCTGGTTTCCAGATAGAGTATATGAATACCCATTGGTTGTATACCCATAGTTTGGTGTTGTTAACCTAAAAGTAGAGATCAGTATCTTAAAATGATACAGGAGCCTCACTTGATTAAATAAACTATCACTAGATTGAATAACTATCTAAATATTACACAATATTATTGTTTCCAACTGTATTTTTAGATAGTTAGGAGATAAATCAAAACAGCTTCTTTTTTTTTTTACATGATTACACATTTCAACAATATGATATCGTGATAAACGAAACAAAAAAAAAATAGTGTACTACTATTAACGCATGCATAGTTCACAGCAAGCTATTTCTAAATGATAACCCTTGAAGCTAAATAAAACCAAAAGCATAGACTCTGAAAAGCTGGATGAATACAACATTTAATTTAATGACCATGATATACAATTTAAGCAATATCTGTGACATGTGCCAATTATCATTCAAGCAACTTCACCTGGACAAAAGAACCACATACTGATTGTTGGAATTTTGCAGATAAAAGCTAAAGATGTCAGATTCTGAATCTCAGATCTATCAGTAGCTAACATATTACTATATACCTTCAGGCTACCAATCCAATGACTTCTTGTACTACACATTACTATTAATTTGTTAGTATTAAAAGATAAGAGAAAGAAGAGAAAGGATATCAAGAAGTTTTCCTCATTTCTGACACATTAGGAAGTAAGTTTTGACATTTAATCAATAATTTATAAGAATTCTAAACATTGATAATTATACAACAATTCATCAGATATTCAAGTCTGAAAATATAACATTACTAAATTTGCAGGCTAGAGCTTTCCTCGTCTTGTCAACATCTATCCAAAATAGGACAAGAGTCAGAAAGTGAATATACCAAATGCAAATAAAGGTACCTTTTTCCAAATGAACATGAAAGTTTATTCTTTAACTATTTTACATAGCCTATGTTATATTTTCAGACTTAAAACATAAAACCATATAATTAAACTAAATATAATATAGATGATTTATGAATTAGCAACTAAAAGAAAGCGAAAGTAAAGCTTACGTGACAAACTGATTGTTGTTGTTGTTATATGTAGGAGAAGGAAGTTCATACCCATTAATACGACTTTGTTTCACTAGATTTGCTTCATCTTCTACTTTTTCTCTTTGTTTCTTTGACATTCTTCCAAACTTCACCGCTAAAATTAATCAATAAATTCTCATTATGCAAAATATGCTTTTAGATTTATAAAGGCATAAGCTTGTTTTTATATCCAGCTTTTGATACTAACTTGGGACAGGAATCTTGTCAAATTGAATGAAATAGCAAAGGAGTAACATTCAAAACTAGACAGAACTGTCTGAAGTTTGCCGTTGATCATTAGAGACAAAAATATTAGATTAAATTTTCTGGAACTTGCTCATTCATGGAGTTAAGAGTTTTGATAAATTCAAAGAACATTCCCCTTGAAAAATTGCCTGTAAAGGCAATGCATGTTGAAACTGTGATCAGAGATGATTAGTATAGTAAGACCATCATAGTACAATATAGTAAAATTATCACAATAGTCGTAATAAGTAATTTATAAACACTGCAAGCTGCTGCCACTGTGCAGATTACATGACAAAGTTTAAATGATGAACAAAGCTTTATCTTGAAAGTAGTTTTTGTTAAACTGAATTAAAATCTGCGAAATAAATAAAAGCTTAATTTCTCTTACCATCTCGTGACATTCCTAAAGCTAGACATTTCTGTAATCTACAATACTGGCATCTATTTCTGTTTACTCTATCTATAACACAGGCTTTATTCCTGGGACACTGATAATTAACCGGGCCTGACTGACTTCGGCGGAAAAAACCCTGAAAATAGGTACAAGCAAAACAATTCCGTTAATCAAAAATCTCATTCAAAGAATTCTAAATCGGGAGCATAAAATAGTAGTGGACTCCTCCAAAGAGAAGTACCAAAAAGAGTAAGCATGATCTGCATCGCATGCATTATGCAAAACCCGCCACTACTGTAATGTAAGCTGAATTGTCAACAAACTTATTTGATACGGTACTAACACTAAGTCATTTTTTGACTTATATGTAAATTCAATGAGAGTTTAATGACTAAATTGACCACATTTTCGACTCATAAACAGCAATTACCAAAAGCAATACGAAATGAGAAAATTTTGTAGAAAAGTTTGTTTGATACAGATTACACAATATTAACATCAATCAATATATAATACAATAGAATAATATGACTAAACTGTATGAATGTTTTTATTCATGGAAACAGCTGTTAACTTACTCTTCCTCTTTGTTCAATATAAATCAAAAACTGTCAGTGTGCATAAACAGTTCAATTATATAACATTGATTCTTTTACATAAAACGATCATGACAAAACTGATCTGCACTATGAAAATCAATACATTTGTCATTTTTAACCACATCTTAACTAGAAGAAGTTGAATATGTTAGTAGTTGAAAATAAGTTGAATTGAGAAATCCTTCAGAAGCCATTTGAAGATTTATTTTAGAATGTTACTTAAGCTTACTCATCTTCCTTTTAATTTAGAAAGCACAAATTGTTACTGCAAGATATGCTTGCTTTTTTAGAACAATCTTTTAATATTTACAAAACTTAAATCTTTTGTTCTTACCTAATATCTTTCAAATTTCCAAATAAGGTAGGTACCAGTATGCAAGAAAATCAATGTATTTCTACAAGTCAATTGACAATGCCATCTCTGTCTTAAACTTAATTTTCCATTCAACAAAAACCTTGTTTAATATGGTATTTTTGCACATCAAAATAAATAAGAATACATTGTAAACAATTGTATTTATAAAACTTACCTTACATCCTTCACATGTTATGACACCATAATGAACCCCAGATGATTTATCACCACATACTTTACATGGTATAACCTCAATCTGGGCTGAAAAATGTAGAAAAATTAGTAAGAGATTTAGAATGATTCATTTTAGATGGTAGTCTTTAAAAAGAGCTTCTAGGTCTAAGAGTGCCATGCATGCCTCACGAGAGCACATGCTATTTCTAGGAAAATTTCAAAAACTTCAACAATCACAAATACCATCTGGTTAAAAGTTAAAATTGAGATCAGGTTCTTCAGGGATACGGGGAAAACATATCAGATCGTATTGACACCATTCTTAATATTGGTACTAGAAAATCCATTAAATACTGGAAACCTAAACTAACAAATTAATCACTAGAGGTGATGGCTTTACACAAACAAGGAAAAAGGTGCAGAACCAGCAAAATGAAGAGAAAAAATAAGACAATCGCGCAGTTGATAAAATTGAAAGAGAAAATCCTAGAATCCATAATTGTTGGTTAGTAACAATATTCAGCTTCCAAATATTCATACATACCGGTACTGATGTCACCTTAGTCTTCCATGTCAGTGGATATATACAACTTTTGTTACACTAATGACTAATATATACAATATTTTACTTATTTAATATTCAACAACAATCAATTATGATTAGGCCGATTCAAAGAAATTTATATTTTGCTACGACAATTCCTGAGAATTTTTCAATGGAAAAAATTTGTTTCAATACATATATATATCCAAATATATCAAATATAAGTTGATATACCAGCCTGATGCTTGTTAAAAATGACAAGAACATGCATGGAAATATGGAAAACACTGTAAAATATATGTTTAATGGTATCAATTAAATATTTTTGTCTTTGAATTTGTGCTAGATTATGTAGCAAGGTGGTTTAAATATAAACTTCGGATAAATAAAATAAATCTATCTGATAATTTTGTGTAATTTAGCTCCTTTTGCAGGAGAACTTCATTTACTTCACAAGGAAATGTTCACTTGTACTCTTAGACAAATATGAATGAAAATTGCAGATAAGGAAAGAGACTAAGTGGATTTATCTGTTTGCAACAATACAGGTTTGACAACTCTCCAACAAACTACTGTAGTACATACAAAACAAACATCATATGTTTACATTTAACTTATAACATTATATCTTGTCTAGCTAGTAACTATATCTTATTCTTTCATTTTAACAGTCTTAGTACATTTCAATAAATAAATTCATTTCATGGATGGCAAGTTTTATTACGGATGAGAAATGAATGAGAAATGAATGTTGTTCCTCTATGAACCTGATAACCAAAAGAAGCTAAAAAGGCACTTAAGATTGCTGCAAGTTAATACAAGATCTATTCAACATTTGTGCTCAACTGCAAATGATAACCCCTTTCATTTGCTTATATAACAAGCAATATTTGTTTTAATAGAGATAACATCTAGTGGTAATAGAAGAGACCCAAGGTAGTTTCAATAATACATGTTATTCATATAGTATAACCATGTTTTGTCCATTTAATATTAATGTGTAAGAATATTATAATGCACTATGCTCATATAATACAACCTGTTAAAGGTTTTATCAATTAATCACGTGACTAACACTTATCTACCACATACAGAAAACATGTGGATTATTACATTACACTGAGAAATGAGAACAAGGGAGACAAAATTCATTCTGTGCCTTGATATCCTCCCAAATCAGTTTATAAGAGGACATGAAATTACATAGGTGGTCACAAACAGACACCTTGTTACATCATACAATTATAATTATTTACAACTAATGAAAATACTGACCCACCTATCGTCCCTTCTGTCAAATTTGGACTCGTCCATTCACAGCTAAAACGAGACTTCGTTCACTGAGCTTCACAATCTATTTTCAACAATCCTATGTTAAACGGTTATTAATCCATTGCGTATGTTTTGCAATCTCTGACCAAACCACTCTCGCATTTAATAGATCGATGTTCATTACCAGACAATATTCCCTTACGGATTATTTGGGGGTGTGTCGGATAGGATTCCCTTGCCTCGTATTTTCGTGGGTTCAGTCCAGTGAAATTATTCTCACCCCTCCAGTTTATTCCCTCGCAAAAACTCAGCATGTGATAGTGACATGACAATTGTTGTGGCTTATGACACTTCATTATATACTCAAGAAAATGCAAAGCAGAAATTGCACTGTCGACATGCAAGGACACTTCAAATCCATAGATGTTTACACAGCATCACATGGAAATTTAGCGCCATTTTCTTCGAGCAACACGTAAGCAATACTGTCACTAATCAGTCATATCTCGAGTAATATTTTAAACATAGTGATGTTAAACCTACCTTTCATATTGGTTGACATCATTTTGATTCAACATTCATGAATCTGCCCCAAATTAGAACGATCGACCCAGAAATTGCATCAAAGTAGGATC